CTCGATTTCACAAAGCCCTGAGTTAAACTCACAGTCGAAAATGTGACTAGATCAATTAACTAAGAAAGCAACTAAAGATAGAGTCAAAGAATTGTTGAATATCATCTAGCCTAGAAAGTTTTGTTCAATAAGTTCCTACCAAAACTGCTGGACACATTTTGTGTTTCCACTTTACTTCCCAAGGCATCAGACACTTGCACAGAATCTTAAGTCTTCCATTTGAGAGTCATCATCTCTGCCCATTGCTATGTGGATGAAGATTATTTAGCCTGAGTGTGCATCACTTGTTGGAAAATGAGAATTAGCATTCGACACAAAGATGATCATCAGGCAGCATAGCAACATGAAAGAAAAATGATGTCAGGAGATCCCTCTATCAGAGTGGCCAAGCAAGCAGGGTGCAAGAAGATGGGATAATGAGACAGACCAGACTCTCTAAGGATCCTACTAAAACTGAAGGTCAAGGTTTGGAGTTGGGCCAGAGTAGGATCCAGCAGCCCGTGTGCCCCAGCAGCCCGGTTAGAGAGAGCTTTGGCATCACACCCATCTGTGTATGATACACATAAGACAAAAGAAGATGAATGAGCCCATCTGCTAGGGATGCTCTCAGCCAAGTCTTGACTGAGAAGTCTCCTAAAGCAAACAACTTGGTAGATACATTTTTCTTGTCTCTCTCTCTCCTCAACTATGCAACGATTGAAAAGCAGTTCCTGAGGTGGAGAGATGATGGCTCAGCAGTTAAGAGAGCTGGCTGTCTTGCAGAGGACCTGGATTTGGTTCCCCTCATCTGCTCAGTGGTTTAGAACCAACTGTCTGTAACAGTAGTTCCAGGCAATCCAAAGCCTTCTCTGGGCTCTGTGGACTCCTGCATACACATCATGTGTATGGTGCACATACACTCGCCTGGGCTCACATACATATGCATAAATAAAAACAAATAAACTTATAAGGATGGTTTTTAAAGAAAACCAGCTCCCAGTACATCCTTTGGGTTATAGTCTTGATTTAAATCTTCCTCATTGTATCATCTTGCTATCTCTGCCCTTATGGGCATGAAGAGTTTTGTGGGCTCACCCCTACAATTCCCCTTTTAGTCTAAATAGAAGATTTAAATTTGATACAAATTTCAAACATATACAACATATATACATGGAAGGTGATAAATAAGTTGTACTCTACTTATATGTTAAGCTAGACATATCTATCCCTTGTAAATTCTAAACTTATCTGAAAGGGATGCTCAAGTCTGAACACCTCCTTCCAATCGCAACCCTAAAATAATTGAAAACTAACATTAACAGCTGTAAATTATCCTGTGATATCAACAGTAAGGAAAGTGGAATTCTAGGTCACCTCTTGTTTACCCCTGCCCAATTCTCCATACTCAGATAAAAGTGCCCTTTAACCTGAAGAGAACAGCCCTACCCACCTTCACCCATTTGGCCCTGGAGTCCCTATCTGCAGCCTGAATAACCCAAGCTGACCACATCACAGAGCAACAGCTCTGGGCAATGTCAAGAGAATCTGGGTCATGAAGGTCCAAGTCAGTATCTCTTTCAAGGTTTCCCAAAAGTGCCAGTTCTGAGCTCCTCAGTTCCAGGAGTTAAAACACAGAGAGAAACCAAGACAGAAATGTACATGTGCTTTATTTCACAAGCCACTCTGAGTTCTCCATGATTCTTTCTTGGAAGTGGGTTTTCCATCAGAGAATGAGGATAGTATTTGCTGCTTCCGTGGGATCTATTTTGGAAAGTACAGAGCACATACAGATTTAAAATATTATCCCTTCTGACTGCCTCTTTTCTGTTCCTGTCTTAGTGCCTTGCATACTAATACTCTTAAAGCAGCAAGTATAATATTATACACTAAAAGAACATTTCCATTACCTAATGCTCCTGTTCTGACCCCATCTGCTTTACAGAATTTTTCATATAAGAGAATTCTTTGAAACCCAGATCAGCAAAAGTTCTGTTTCAGTGAACAATTTGTTCCCTAAGTGCAAAAATAGCTTCTGCAAGTAAATCCTATGTTAAAAATGGCATTCGTGAAAACACAGTTTTACCTGTGTTATATGGAAACGTGCTTGGAAATGAAATTGCATTGTGAGTTTGTTGCTGATGTTTTTGGAATTTGTATTGCTATTAATTAACGTCTCAGTTCATCCTACCTCCTCACCTCGGGACTTGTTGCTCCTGCCACGCAGCACAATGAAAGCCCTTTATTCAAAGAGCAGATTCGCTTTTCAATGAGCAACCGCTCAGTATACTTCTGTAGTCCCTCCTTCCTCTACTTCTTTCCCTTCCTCTTCTTCCTGACCTCATAATCCAGCTTTGAAGTTTGATTCTCTGATTTAAATCTAACTACAGTGTTTATTCCTCCAGCCATTACCCGTGCCTCTGCAGAAATGAGCATATTGCTTCTGGACACTGGGAGGCAGGGAGACAGCCATGGCTGGTGACTCAAGCCTATAATGCCAGTTACATGGGCAGCTGGGTCAGGACAGTGGCAACTTCAACCTGCCTGGGCTATGGTCACAGTGAGTTCAGTGCCAGCCTGGTTAATTTAATGAGACTTTATCTCAAAAAAAAAAGTTAAAAGGGGGTTGGGCCCTCGGTTCCTCTCCCAGTCCTGCAGAGCAAGGAGAAGGAAGGAGGGAGAAATGAGAATGAGAAAAGTTGAAGAATATGCTTTGATTGCACTCTAACCAAAATACTAACAATGACAATAATAATAATGTGGAAAGACAGTCACGCTGGCACACGCCTCTAACCCCAGCCAGCAGTAGAAGGTAGGACCATGAGTTCAATCTGGGCTTTGTAAGAAGACCCTGTATCAAGTAAAATAAAGTAGAGACGTGGAAAAAAAAAAAGACTGAGCCTGGTGATATACATACACCTGTGTCTCAACATTTGAGCAACTGTGGACAGAAGGGTTAGAAGTTCAAGGTCATCCTTGGCTACATACAGTTTGAAGCTAGCCTGGCCTACATGAGACCCTAAATGAAACACACACACACACACACACACACACACACACACACACACAGGAGAGAGACAGAGAGAGAGAGAGAGAGAGAGAGAGAGAGAGAGAGAGAGAGAGAGAGAGAGAGAGAGAGAGAGAGAGAGAGAGAGAAAACTAAGCACTAAGTTAATACTGGCCTCCAAAACCAGTACAGAGTCACAAACTACTTTTCGGGGATGATGACATTCTTTTCTTTGTATCCAAAGAAAGCCCAGTACACGTTTCCCTGGTGTCACCCTGAGGCACGTGAGCAGTGAGTGGGTTTAACTGATAACAGCATCTTTATTTGCTGGCATTTAAATGTGCCCTTTAAAGACTGAAATCAATTACATTGTGCCTAATTATAGTCTGGCGGTATACTCATGTACCTATAGCAATCCAGTTATTAGGAATAAGCTTCGCATCTTTCCTGCTGATCCAAAATGATGGCAAATTATGATGTGGTAATTAGATCAAGACCTTACCTAAGAAAAAATACACTGCAAACTGGATCTTTGCAAAGCTCTCCTCTTTTTTAAATTAAATTTTACTGTCTGTTTTTTATTTCATCTCACCTTGCCAGCGTGATGTCCTTGTAATTCATTCTCTAGCCCAGGTGGATTTTGGGCAACTTAGGATGGCAGATAAAACAGCAAAGAGATGACGTCATCCTTTAACAAAATTGCACTATAATTCCAGAACTGTGTGTACTCTCATTCATCTGTCTTTGCTGACATTACTCCACAGGAAGGTTTTCTAGGGCAGATGTGCGCTCCCTTGGCAACAAAAATGGTAGGGAATGCACATCCATTTCAAATCCCGAGAGGAAGAGTTTCGTAAATCTGTTTTCTAAATGTACTGTGAATAATGGAGAGACATCAAATGTCCTCAAGCCTGTTCTGATTAAAAAACCTTCAAGAGTCCAAGTTCAAGGAAACCCCCCAAATGTTATTCATATTATAAAAAACGTTTTCCTCATTTAAAAGCACACTTTGACTCACAATAGTATGCAAATTAAAGCAGTCTCTATCGAAAGCAAACATGGATATGTTAAGAAGTTACTGCGTTTTATGCTCATTTGATAAGGAATCGGAGCAAAAATTAGTAAAAGATCATTATACAGGGTCCCATCCAAGTGTTCTAAAACAGCTTCAAAATCGAATACAGACATCAGAGAAACAGGAAAGGACCTTCTGAAGAGAAAGGTGAGCACTCAGAGAAATGGTACAAAATAGCAAAAGCAACCCAGAAACAAGACTGAGGAGAAACCTCAGGATGGATCAGGTGACACTCCTTCACCTTTGCTCTCTGTCCTAGCTAGGGACGTCACCATGACAAAAACAACTTGGGAAGGAAAGGGTTTATTTGTCCGTCACTGAAGGAACCCAGGACAGGAACTCAAGCAGGGCAGGAACCTGCAGGCGAGACCTGATGCAGAGGTCATGGAGGAGAGCTGCTTACTGGCTTGCTCCTCACGGCTTGCTCAACCTGCTTTCTTACAGAACCCAGAACCACCAGCCCAGGGATGGCACCACCCATAATGGGCTGGACCCACTCCTATCAATAACTAATGAAGAAATTGCCCTACAGGTTTGCCTGCAGCCCAATCTTACCGTGTCATCTTCTCAGCTGAAGTTTCCTCCTCTCCAATAACTCTAGCTATGTCATGTTGACATAAAACTACCCAGAACATTCTTTTTTTACCCCTTGGTTCTTTGGGGGCATTTGGGTAATGTTTCAAAAATATATTGAGCTGGGGAGATCAGTTAGACACAAAGATCTAATCTCTTGAACACTTGTTTTCAGAGCCACGAGTAATGGTACATACTTGTATTCCCTGTGCTGTTAGAGACAGGCAGATCCCTGGGGCTCTCATTCCCCGGTGAGTTACAGGGGAGTGAGAGATGGATGGATGAATGGATCCTGTCTCTAAAAAAGGGGGGAGGGAAGAAAAGGTACACACCAGCACACGTGCTCACACACAACAAAGAATACATTTTAATCTCTTCAGAATACAGCTCATGCACATATTTTTAAGCTTTATTTATTTGGGGACTGGAAAGATGACTGAGCATCGAAGAGCCCTGGCTTCTCCTGCAGAGGATGATTCCCAGCAGCCAAATGACAACTCACAACTGTGTGCAACTCTAGTTCCAGTGGACCCAATATCCTCTTCTCTCTTTCATGGGCACCAGGCGTATCCAAGCTGTGCAAACATATATGCACACAAAGCATTCATATAATAAATAAAAGAAAATAATTTATTAAAGTAATCTTCAAAAGATTGTTTTGAAAATACGATGGTAGCTTAGTCATAGAGCCTGAGTTCAATTCCCAACACACACATAAAAAGAAGTCAGGCATGGTGGCACAGGGTTACAGCCCCAGCACTGGGGAAGTGAGACAGGCAGACAACTAGGGCTCATTGGCCATCCAGCTTCGCCTACCCAGTGAGCACCAGGCCCTAGTGAAAGACTCTGTCTCAAAAAACAAAACAGGGCCAGGTGTGGCGGTGGTGGATCTCTGTGATTTCGAGGCCAGCCTGGTCTACAGAGCCAGTTCCAAAACCACCAGAGCTATATAGTGAGACCCTGTCTCATAAAAAAGGGGGGGGGAGGAAGGAAGGGCTGGGCGGTGGTAGTGCACGCCTTTAATCCCAGCACTCAGGAAGCAGTGGCAGGAAGATCTCTGTGAGATTGAGGCCAGCCTGGCCTATAGAGTAAGTTCCAGAACAGCTAGGGCTGTTATACAGAGAAATCCTATTTCAAAACAAAAATAAGAAAAGAAAAAGAACGGGGGGGGGGGGGGCACGGGAGGAAGGGAGGGAATGGGAGAGGGACCTGGAACTGACTTGTGAAGCAACCTTGATTCTTATCTAAATTTAAACTGGAAAATAAAATTAAAAAAAAAAAGAAAAGAAAAGAAAAAGAAAAAAGGCAAGCAAGGAAAGAAGGAAGAAAACAGGTGGAAGGGGAGGGGCTGAGGAAATGGCTCTGTGGGTAATGTGCTTGCTATGCAAGCATGAGGACTTGCATTCACTTCCAGCAATGCATGAACCTGTGATCCCAGAGCTCGTGAGCAGACAGGAGATGGATACAGGAGAATCCCCAGAAACCCAAGGACCCTGGCATATCGAGATGAGAATCAGAGACCTTGTCTCAAACAAAATGGACGACAAGAACCAACTCAAGGTGTTTCTCTGCACTCCATATACATTCCATAGCACATGTGCGTGAATCTACACATACAACAACAACAAAAAAGGTGAAGTGACATCCAAGGTTGACATTTAGCCTCCCCACAATTTCCCACTTCTCACTCCAAACCCCTAGAATCCACCTCTCCCATCCCTGGAAGTCAAGACTAAGCAGAGCTACTGCTGTGGAATAGAACATTTGTTTAACTATGTAAAGATGTGTTGCTGTTTCACCTTGCCTGCCTAAAGCACCTGACGGGTCTAATAAAAAGCTGAATGGCCAATAGCTAGGCAGAGAAGGGATGGGCGGGGCTGGTGGGCGGAGAGAAAGGGGGAGCCAGCAAGCTAGCCAGGGACCAGACAGACACCGAGGAAGCAGGAAAGCGGGTAAACAAGCCTCAGGGCAGCACAGAGACTAATAGAAATGGGTTAACTTAAGGATTTTGCTTTTAAATGCTAGCCAGAAACAAGCCTAAGCTAAGGCTAAGCATTCCTGATAAATAATAAGTTTCTGTGTTGTGATTTGGGGGCTGACAGCCCAAGAAAGCCTTCTACAAGCTATCACTGTCTTCTCATTATCTTTGTGCACCCCACAGACCTCTTAGACGTCTACTAAAGCCTATGGATCCCCCTCTTAGAAGAATGCTTGAAATGTGCAAGCAAAAATACAAAGAATTACAAAGGAAATCAGTTATATGGCAAGACAGTTCTGTCACTGAGCCCTTAGGGACTTGAGGGCTCCAGGGTATGGATCTGCAAGCTCTACTCTTAGTGTTTCCAGCCTGTGCCAGCAGAAGGATGTATACGCATGGCAGTCACACGCAGTGTGCCTTCTGCAGTGGCCGCTGTCAAGACTGTTTGGCCACCTCTAGCCAGTGCATTCTGCTCTCAGCCTCTGTGAGTTTTACTGAGGGCTGACCCATGGTTCATTGCTGCTGTGTGCTATAGAGAGTCCCACACCATATCCTGCCCCAACTCTTCACCAAGAAGAATCCTCTCCTACAACATCTCTCTTTGCTTCCAGAGAGCGCAACCTAAGACACTTACCTACTGTCCCTTAGGTTGAGTTTTCTATTTATTGACTTCCTGGGCAGGATTCCATGTGTGTGTACATGGATCCAATGCATTCATTTAACAGCCTCCTGCTGTTCCGTTCATGATTTGACCATAACTAATGCAGCACATTTCCAGCACAAACATTTCCAATAGTTCCTCTCTGGAAACTTCAAAATCTCATTTTTACACATTTAAATGCAATCACTGCCTTTCCATGTTTTAACTATCTAGTTAGCTGCTAGTGAGGCATTCATCAGTCTCTTGAGCTACAAAACTTCAGTGCCTTGATATCTTTGGGAATACAGCTCTATTCCCAATGCAGCTTACCTTTGCATGTGACAAGCTGGGAAGCTTCAGCAGGCCCCTGTCTTTACAGCCCCAAACCCAGAACACCAGATTCAGGGCCAATTTCCATTCTTAACTGGCTAGAAGGCCTGTAAGGGTTTAACTTAGACCCTCTAGGCATGTATCCCTGCTGGCTGAAGGGTCACCTCTGTTTAGTGATGACATTGGATAGCCCAAGTATCTAAGATACTTAAAAAACAAGCTAGAGATGCAAGCACAGTGTGCTCCCCTTTTTTTGATTAGAAGTGCACATAAGCACGAGTTTTGGTTTCTCGTCACATGTCTGACCCAGCGGACATGCAAGAGACTTGGATTGGGGGGTGGGGGCACAACAGAGAGCTAGAGACATACACACAGAGAGAGGAAGGACAAGCAAGAGACTGAGGTGAGGTGGGAGGGTGACAGAGACAGACGGACAGACAGACAGACAGAGAATGAACTGGAAAGCTGAAGGACAGGAAGATGAAGGAGACTTTTATTCCAAGTGTGTGCCCTTTTAGTATTACACCGTGTGTTTTCTCAAATAGCAAATACAATTTAATCTTGTGAATGTGTATGCTATGACAGTAGGGTTTTAGGCCATCGTGGATAGGCAGAAAAGTAAAACGGAGTGTTAGAGAGCAGACACACCATTTCTAAATTCCTCACTTTGCCAGAAGCCATGGGGTATCCATAAGAAGCACCAAGTTGGAAAGCAGGAGATCGGGCTCCGTACCTCAGCTCTGGTCCCAGATCTCTGTGCAGCTCCAGACCAGCTGCTTCATCTCTGATCACACATCTCCTGTTGTATAAAAGTTATGACAGTGGCACTTGTGAGCTATGTGCTTTAAAAATAATATGGTTGTTACTGGAGAAATCTCTTAATGCCCCTGGGCCTCTCTGTTCTTCAGAATCAGAAAGTTGGGCAAAGGGAAAGATGCATGGTTCTGAATCTTTACAGAATCATGGACTTGGCTCCAAGGATTCCTTCTCCCTTTGAAGGGGCCAGTCCCTCACCCAGCCCCCTGCTTTAGCAGCCATGACAGGCTGTGGAAAAGACCCAGCAAGATGTAGGCCTCTGACTCAGCACCTACTGCTTAGTTTCAGCCTTCTAACCTTGCCAGACCTGCCCCCGTCACTAGGAGGTCAAATACCTTCCACGTGGCAAGAAACCAATCAGAAGTTAGCTGACGGGGCCCTAGACATGCTTTTCGGTGCTTTACGGTAACAGTGGTGTACCAGTGGCATGCAGAGCATAGCAACCACCCTAGGAGGACCTATAGGCAATAACAACCAGTTGACCAATCAACACAGGACAGGTTACCCAAGCCCAATTCTGAGACTGTTGCATACCCCTAGACACTCCCCCCAATAAATTGTGACCCCTTGCTGGGCAAGGGAAGTGAATTAAGACAGTTAACTCATTAAATAATAAAGGACTCTTTGCTTTTTGCATCGGAACGAGTCTCTTGGTGATTGGGGGTTCAGAATTTGGGCATAGATTGCCTCCAAGTTCAAACAGAGAAGAAGCAAAGAGAGACATTTGCGCTTAGAGATTAGTTCAGCATGGAGGTGAGAAAGAGCTGCCTAACTCTGACGCTACCAATTAAACTAGCAGTTGGCAGACTAGGAACTTTTTTGTTGTTGTTCTTGATGCTACCTAACTGAACACACCCTGTTGGGGGCAGACCAGAAGAAATGTCACTCACAAAGAAGGATACACTGGGAGAATCAAATAACAGGCTGCTTATGGTTAGCAAGCCAAAGCCCATGGTGCTGCCAGCATGGAAGAGTTACACAGGAAGTTGCGTACAAGTTGAGCTATAGTTTGACCCTAAATTAACTTGTAAGCTCCACCTGCCTCACCTGCCCAAGGACCAGGCAACTTCCTAGAATTCTGGGAGTTGTAGTTCTGGGAAAATAACAACAAAGCCTCCTGGGAACGTACAAAGGCCCATGGGTTTTGGCCGTATGAGCCCAGACGCCATGTGCCTAGGGGCAGTTCACCTGAGATGGATGGTCTTAGCCAAATTCAATCTTGGTTGTTATTTAATATTTTAATAAAAGCTTTCTTTAATTTGTCCAAAATGGTCAAACTGGTTTTTCTACAGTGAATCTCAGAATTAACATTATGAGATTGCAAACACTGGAATTCATTATGAAAAGGGCCAACTGAATGACAGTGTGCTAATGTAATAAGGAACAAATCTCTCAGTGCCCTCTTGGTTGGTGGAAGATGTTCTCCCTTCCTCTGAAGGAACCAGACCTCACCCAGGCCCCTGCTTTGTCAGCCATGACAGGCTGCAGAAAAGGCCCAACAAGATGTAGGCCTCTGACTCAGCACCTGTGCTAAGTTCCTGACCTTGGCCCAGCCTTCCAGTTCCTAGGAAGCCAGAGGCCCTCCATGTGGCAAGGAACCAATCAGAAGTCAGCTGGTGAACTCTGGGTGTGCTTTGTGGTAACAGTGCCTACCAAGCATAGCAACTGCCCTGGGAACGCCTACAGGCCATAGCAACTAGTTGACCAATCAACACAGGACCAGTCGTCCAAACGCGGAAGTGCACGAATCCTGAGATTTGCGGAATCCTAGACACTCCCCTTTCTCTACCCCAATAAATTCCCTGCCCCACACGTGCACACCATCCCTCCGGTTCTTCTCTCTCCACTTGCCATGTCAAAGGGACAGAGGACTCAAGTTAATACAGTTAACTCGTTAATTATTAAAGACCGTTTGCTTTTGCATTGGATCTGGTCTCTTTGTGATTTTGGGGTTCAGAATTTGGACAGAACACCTCCTGTTGGGGATCCTCAGCTAAGGGTGCCATTCCACACTCAATCCCCCTATTTCAAGCCCCCTCAAAAGACCACCAAGGAGCAAACCTTCCCCTCAGAAAGCTCACCAGGGTCTGCTCCTCTCCTGGGGGCTACTCAAGACCACTACTTTTAAGCTACTTAAGACCTGGTAGCCATATTTGCCATGTGATTCCACCCCTGCCCTCCTGAGGATCACCCAGAAGTTGTTTTGCTCTGTTCATTAAACCTGGACTTAATAATTCGGTTTGACTGGCTTATTACATCAGCAGCTAACCAGGGATTCTGAACTTATCACCTCCCATCAGTGGGCTTGTGAGTAACTTCCTAGACACTGGAAAAAAATTTTTGCAAAAACTCTCCATGTCTCTGACTAAAAGAATGTTTTACTCTTGAATAAACCACTTTGCATTCTCAGGACAGCCAATTAACTCTGAGATTTTAGCAATCTACAGACTGTCTTTGGCAATGTGGGCCTGCAGCAGAGACATCTTCCCAAAACGCATGGGATGAGAAAGGAGCAAAAAAATAAGACATCCTTAGTCAGCATAAGAAGAGATAGGATTTCAAATGTAAACTAAAACCTGGCCCCTGGTGGTCTAGTGACTGGGATTCAGCACTCTCTCAAAGGAAGGTCAGGAAGATGGCTCAGCAAATAAAAAACCCTTGTCTGATAACTCAGGAAAAACCAGATGTGGTGGCTCACATCTGTAAGCTCACCACTCCTACAGAGAGACAGAAGGGAAACCCAAAAGAGTTGCCTGGAGGCTCATAGACCAGCTAGCCTGGAATATGCAGGACAGCAACAGAAACATGAGAGACCCTGTCCAAAACAGTGGACAGCACATGATCACATACTTACTCCCCAAAGTCATCCTCTGACATCCACAAATGCACTGTGGTTCACACATGCCCAAACTGTACACACACACACACACACACACACACACACACACACACACACACACAGATATACATGTGAGAAGCTGGAGCTAATACTAGAAACATCTTTCTACAACTTGCTGCTTAAAACACTCATTTGCAGCCAGGCGTTGGTGGCGCATGCCTTTAATCCCAGCACTCAAGAGGCAGAGGCAGGCGGATCTCTGTGAGTTCGAGGCCAGCCTGGTCTACAGAGCGAGTTCCAGGACAGCCTCCAAAGCCACAGAGAAACCCTGTCTCGAAAAAACAAAAAAAAAAAAAAAACAAACACTCATTTGCTGATTGATATTTTGTCCTTGTTCATGATACATTGTTCTATCATATTAATACACTCTAACATTCTTCCTTTGGTGGATAATTGGCTTATTTCTATTTTTTTCTTCACAAATAGTACTGAAATATACATCTTTGTAAGTGTTTCCCATTCTTCAACCAATGGATACCTGGGAATGGTATTGTTGGATGCTATGTTATGCTTACTTTCAGCGCTACAAAATATTGCTAAATTACTTTCCAAAGTGGTTGTGCCAATTCCCACTCCCACCCACCCAGACTGTCATACGACTCTTTCGCCATTTTAATGAACATGAAGCTCTGTCTTACTTAGTATACATTTTCTGAATTCCTAGCTTGAGCACCTTCTCATATACACTTTCTATCTGTGACTTGTCTATTTATACTACCTTTGCCTCTCTCTCTCTCCTCTCTCTCTCTCTCTCTCTCTCTCTCTCTGTCTCTCTCTCTCTCTCTGTCTCTCTCTGTCTCTCTCTGTCTCTCTCTCTCATATTGATTTATTAGAGTCCATTACATGTTCTAGAAACTATCTTCTTGTTTAAGATACATCAACAGAGGGCTGAAAGATAGCTCAGCAAACACTTGCCACCAAGCCTGACAACATGAATTTCATCTCCAGAATTCACATGGAGGAAGGAAAAAACCAACTCCCAACCTCCACACGAACCCCATGGCATAGTGTGTACACACACACACACACACACACACACACACACACACACACACACACGATAGATGATAGATAGATAGATAGATAGATAGATAGATAGATAGATAGATAGATAGATGGCTTATCAAAAAAGGAAGAGGAGGGAGCAGAATTATATCAACTATCCTGGTAGATGTTTTTTGTTTGTTTTTGCTTTGTTTTGTTTCTGTTTCTGTTTTCCAACTTGACATAAGCTAGAGTCATTTTTGAAAGGGGGAATTGTAATTGAGAAAATGCCTCCCTAAGACTGACCTGTAGGCAAGTCTGTGGGGCATTGTCTTGTTAATGACTGATCTAGCTCATAGTGGTGCAACTCCCAGGGCAGGTGATTCTTGGGCTGTATCAGACAGCGATCTGAGGAAGCCAGTAAGCAGCATCTCTCAGTGGCCTCTGTTTCAGTTCCTGCCTTGAGTTCCATCCCACAGTGATGGATTGTGACCTGAGAGTTATAATATGTAATAAATCCTTTCATCCCCATCACTGCCACAGAAACCAACACATTTGAAAACGGTTAGATGTCAGTAACCCTTTTTGAAGTATAACATTCAGTGATAGAGGTTTTCTTCCAGAAAACCAAATGTTTCCACCTAGTTCAATGGGACAGCTCCTGCCAAGCATGTGTGGGGTGCTGGGGTCAAGCCCATCACCAAAATAAATTTTACATGAAAAAAAAATGATTAAATATGTTTTATCTTTGATCCTTTTTCTATACTTTGTACCCAAAGCCTACTCAGCTCCTTAACTGTCCAAGACTGTTTCGTTGTATAATTCATTCAAACTTAAATGAATCTTTTCCTTCTGAATTTTAAACTTTCCATATCAAAGTCCACACACACACTTCAAAGAACTAAACAAAAAAATCAGAAGAGGTTTTAGTAATAGGGTGTGAGTACTAAGAGCCAGTGCTGGTGCGTCTGACACTGTCACCACAGGCCAAGAAGGCTCACTGCACACTGAAGATACAGAGAGGAAACTGAGTGGGCTACCTAGACAAGAGCAATAACTGCTGAGAGACATGGCAGCCTGCGGCAACCTCACTGCAGAAATAAATGTCCAGCCCAGTGTCCCTCCATCCTTTCATGTCCTGCTGAAAGCAGAGAACACAGGTGGCTTTGATGTCCATGCAGAGTGCCTTCCAGAGCTGGAAGATGATCTACGAGGCAAAATGAATCCATCCAGCACCCTGGTGTAGCCGAGTTACATCAGACCTTACCCACATTTAGTCAAAACAGGTCATTTAATGGAGCTACGAAGCACTGGGCAAATATTTTTCTTCCTGCGTGTAAATTTAATCTGTGGTTTGGGAAGCAAGAACTCCACTCTAACCCTTACAAAGCCTACACTACCATCCTCCAGCCCAATAAAAAGTCACTTCATAAAGATCAGGACTGCTCAGTAGAAAGGAGAAGAAAACACATCCATAAACGCACAGAAGAATAATGTAATGTTACATCAATATATAAAAAGTAAGAAACCTTCAAAGTGCAGAGGGGACCCAGGAAGGGACAACAGCCTGGACAGTGAGGATAAGCAAAGAGCTCTCAGAGAACACGGGTGGGCAGCATGCCTCCTAGACTGAGGTCCCAGTAAGACCCACCGGAAGTGCAGAGCCTGTCTTCCTTCCACACAGAGGACCCCAGGGGTCACAGCTGGCCATGCTTCTCCACACCCCCACCCCAGTAACCAGGGCCAGAGCAGAGGAAGAGGTCCCAGACTGTCATAGAGGAAACATCACGAATCTGGAACATTACAAATTAAAACACTCAGCCAAGTTAAATGTTTTATTCTTTGATGGCCCCAACCTACAGAAAACAATTTTTAGAGTGGTTTTCTTTTTTTTTTTTTTAATCATTGGTTTGTTCTTTTAAATTCTGCTTTTCGTGAAGCTCACCCCATTCTCTTGACTACACCCCCATGTCCGTACAGAAGAGATGTGAGGGTGCTCTCAGGCCAGGGTACTCTTCATTCCAGCAACTTATGAGAACCAGGGTCCCAAGACAGAGAGAAGAAAGAAAAAAGCTCAGGACTGCTGAATAACACACAATTCCCTGTAAA